CTGGTATAGCGTCAACTTCACGGAGAACTTCTATTGATGAAAACATAACGCAAACCCACTCTGAAAGATATTTCCAGGTTTTCTCCTCCCCATACTTGCATGCCTTCATCATAAGAGCCGATATCGTAGAAGAATTGCCTGTCAATAGCGAATAGACCTCCAGCTATAGTTGGCGTTCTAAACAGGACAGTATAAAACACAGTTTATCAGCAGATCATTGTCAACAGTGGATGACAAGTTCCAGTCTGTCACTTACTGAATAGGCGAAGAACGATCGCCTTTCCTTCGTTGCATCTCCCTCTTTGGAACTGGATACCACCGGAAATTTAAGTGCCAGTTGAAACCTCCCCAAGTTGTATCAGAAGCGGTCACATATTCAAAGGTGTCATCTGAAAAAGAGGCACAGTTGATTGGTGGCTATACAAAGATTTGAAAATGGAGCTCACCAGAAATCACGTCGATGATGGGAGCTACTACGCGTTTCCTGTCTTTGGCCACTCTATCTACAAGTGGTTCCAACCAACCTTCGGTGACCTGCAAGAAACGAAAATCAGCGAATCATGCCGTTAGAAACACATGTCACTTCTAAGTCTCTCCGTCAATATACGAACGGACAGAGGCCGCAAGTGACCACTACAGCTGTTAGGCAGCGTTCAGACTTCGCGACGGCAGCGCTTCGGTCGCGCGTTCGGCGCGATCGATGCGCATGCTTTCGACTGCATCGATCGCGTCGAACGCGCGACCGAAGCGCTGCCGTCGCGAAGTCTGAACGCTGCCTTACACAGTAGTTCACTGCGGATGAAAGGGCGTGTCAGCAGCATGAGTGTGCCATGGCGCCAAACCCGTTCTCTGCCAGTTGTTGAAGCGGGTATGCGACAACAATTGGTAGAAAACGAGTGATACGAACGATATGATACAGTCTTGTCACTTGCTCGCTTCAACAACTGGTGGAGAACGGGTTTGGCACCGCGCCAAACTCATCCCGCCTGACAGGCCCTTGTCCCTATACTATATTTATTTAACGCTTGCATGAAAGGCGCTGTGCAGCAGTTGCGATTGTCAAAAAAGCTTAAGTCCCTGAAAGCACACAAACTGTGACACGATACCTGCACAAGGATGCTGTTTTATGGGCAAAAGACTGCGCCAGCAGGACTCCTATCCAACTCAGGCCCTGCACCTCACACCTGCCGGAATAATCTGTTAATTACCATACCTTCGCGTCCGCCCTACATCCCCGTGTTTAGCATACTTATGGCTAAAGCTGGGCATAAAAGCAATGAAGCTGAGGATGAATGGTAGCCCTTAGCACACTAGTCTGGCCCCTGTGTAATGCAGAACTTGAAAGAGATTCGAGTCTTGAGTCTGGAGCCGAGTCTTTTATCCATAGCTCCACATTCCTGAGATACCTTTCGGAAGAATCGCGGCGATTAACAGCAGTAATCGGAGCCTGCTGTGATCTTTGAGTGTATATCGCTAGTCCTGAATCATAACACAGCGCTCAGACCAGCACAGTACCTCCTAGCTAGCTGATGTGACACAACACAACTCTGCCAGGTTCTATCGAATACTGCGCATGACCCCGCCTGCAACGTCTCCTTCGCCGCGTTTGAATGCGACTCGAGCCTAATAACTCACCAGTGATCGTTACGCCTAGTTAATCCCGCAGATCTAGCTGGAGCAAAGGTTACGAAAAAATCGTAAAAATCGAAGTACTCCTGAGGCTGATTATCATTTTATTAAAGCACGAGAGTTAAACTGAAAGGTTTCTTCGAGACAGTACTCTGTGTAGCTCAAAATAGTTCCACATATAATCGAGGTTCTTCTCGTCAGTGTTATAGTCTCATACGTGTGAAGGAAACATTCTCATTCTAGACCACTCGCCCATTACTTACGAATGACGATTTTTTTGAGACAAGTACTCTGTGTGTGACGAAACACTTGTAATTTGCCGCGCTAGTGGGCGTGGCGAGCGACGAAGTGCCTTGCAGACGAGTTGCACCGGCTCGCCGCCTTAATTCTAGAGAAATAGAAAATTCGATGTCGCCTGGCATGCAGTTTGTCTCCGACTGAATTCATATGAGTTTCGCCGCTCCGCTCAATAAACTGATGCGTACCGAGGGTTTGCCGCCGTCGTGCGCGACGACGCAATAAATTACCATTATGTTGTCCGCCTCCCCACTACTACTACTACTAGGTGTGATTATCACCACACAAAAAATAATCCCACTTTAGATGTAAAATTACGCACCTCTACATGTGCATCGAGAAATAAGAGTACACGTCCCTTGGCCATTCCAGAGCCAGTCAGTCGTGCACGTATCAGACCACTCCGACGCTTCAAGTGAACAATCCGCATAGGAACCTTCAAAGTAGAACTGTCCATTTCAGAGTTCTTACGTAAATAGGAGATAATCCATTTCAGAATATGATTGTTAACGACTCACAGGGAAGCGTTTTATGTACGCATCAAGAGGCGCTTTGAGGTAATCCCTATCAGATAAGTCATCGATCAGAATAATCTCTTCTATCAACGACAATGGTGACCTAAAAATAATCATATTTCCTTTTTCCTAACGTGCAAAAGGCGAACATAATAGAGAAATCACCTATTAATAACGGAATGCAAAGTACGAAGAAGAGTTGTCCAAGCTTCATTATGGAAAACAATAATAATAGAGGTTTTCGGGAGATCTGGTGAAAAACTTTTGCCTTGGCACCTGAAAGTTGGGACAGCATATGCTACAAATTCAAGAGCTGACTCAGTTTTCGAGCCAAGAAGGCTAAAAATGACTAGGAACGATAATAACATACTCGCTAGAACGATAGTCCGGTAAGGATCTGTTAATAGAAATCATTTCACTAGCTATCTGAAAATAGATGAGTCCGCTCAATGCGACACAAACTGGTTTCAAAACTACTTACAACATTGAACTGATTCTCCAAGAATCTTTTATCTTTCTCTCCAGCCATTTCAGCAGGCAAGGCTACTCCGATTCCGTTCTCTCCATATTCAGGAGGTTGGAAAGACTTCACTGCAAAAAAAAATTGGTGCGAGGATCTTGCAAGCCGCATCAATCCCTACGTTTCTGTGCAAACAAATTTTCAGAGACTGTCGTTCGAGAGGGGAAGGGCAGGCGGGCGTGCACATTATTTTTCGCTGTGGATGACGGGGTGTGTCAGGGGGTGCATTTCGTGGAGGGCCAGACCGTTGTTTTCATTAGGCAAGCGTGTATCATACCGTTCCCACCATTCGTTTTCCACCAATTCCTGTCGCTTACCCGCATCAACAACTGGTGGAAAATGGGCTAGTGGTGCACCAAGCCCAGTCTGACCGACACGCCTCATCATCCGCAATGAAAATGACTGTGCAATTCAATACTTTATCCTTTCGAACGTGTTTGGCACTGATTTACCGGTTTCGGAGAGATGGATAGCCTGGCTCCATCCAGCCAGAGTAGATCTAGAAATGCCCATGGTCAGAGCATCATCCACCATTTCGCAAACTCCGCCCACGTTCGTGGTTAGGCATGGATTACAATGACAATTATTTACTTATTTGTTTGTTTTTAGTGCCACTCAACTGGAATGGTAAGCATCCTTAATCCACCTGGACTCAATCCACTGACTTAATGAAAAAAGAAAAATCAAATGATGGCTCCCTCGCAGAGTAAACTATTTATCTTTAGAGTATTTCTTTTACTACATCCCCTAGAAAAACCTCGAGGCAACCGCTCGCATCAAGCACTAGTATATTTATAATAGAAAGAGGAGCCAAAAAAGCAGCCTCACTAAACCAGAATAGAGAAAATAGCACAAATCCTCAATACCTCTCAATTATGATGACTGTCATAAACTTAAGACAAGGAGACCGTCGTAGATCCCATTTTGGTATAAAGTTGTTCTCTAGCATAACAGCGCCTCAGTCAAGTCGGACTTGCATAATCAGGGGCCTCATGTGTGGGGAATCCCCATAGGGGGGGGGTCGTATTTGGCCGCCAGGAGAGGGGGGGGGGTCGTAATGAGTGCGGTAGCCAGTAATCGAGCAGCGCAAAGGTGTCAGTGTGCTGAGTCCTGTACAGCGAAACTTGCTTTTTAGAGAACTGGATATGTAAAAAAATAGCACAAAAACTCGTCCCATTCATCAAATCCTAATCCGAAATATTGGAATATTAATAAGTCGACATCATAAACACTAAACAGTACAACAGAACAGTAACAGACTAAACAGTACAACTCATACTCTGGTTCGCTGCGGATGATGGGGGCGTCCGCGATCGCGCTTGGCGCTGAGCCAACCTGTTTTTTTTCGACAAACGACAGGACTACCATATCGCTCGTATCAGACGTTTTCCAGCAGTTGGTCTCCTTTATCGGAATCATTGGCGGAGCACGAATCTGGCGGCGTCGACAGGGACCAGTGCTCCATCATACGTCCAGCCAACGGAAAAAGCACTGTTTTCGGCGGCAGCTGTGGAGTGTTCCCCAAGAAATCCCCATCGCGAGATCTCATGAATCCCGAGAACTTCAGAAACAGTTCAAGAGGTTTTTAGAAAGAGAAAATCTTCAAACACTCGAAACCGTTCTCTCTTGATTATGTGGAAATGTGAGTTACAAAAAAAATATATTAACCTGTTCAGCTGAAATCACTCCCCAACGAATCCCCATGGCAGATTTCTCTGTGATTTTTGCGACCTTCATAAACGTTTCAGTACTTTTAGGAAGTGCAAACCTTCCTCTACACGAGTACGGTCTCCTCTTCCCCACAGGTCCGCTTTTGAGGAAGTTATGGTCCTAAAAGAAGACAGCCACTTTTGCTGAATAACTCGGCAGTTCATAGACATGGGCTGGTCTTGCACAGAATCCCTCCCCCGGTACCTCGGCCTTTAATCAGCTGATTGCGTTTGCTCTCGTTCGTATTTACTCTTTCGTGTTTATCTTCTTCTCGGTTTATTCGAATATCGAATATTTATGTTCTCTTCTGCTGAGTTTTACTCGGAATATGAACATCTTTATCTTCTATCAGTTTACTCGAATACGCGTCAGAGCGCGCCCAAGCAATTTTGCTTGGACCGCTCAGAGTGCTTTTAGGAGAAGTTGGCTTGATTTCCTGTTTTTTTTTTTTCTTTTAAAATTGGCAATTGTTGATTCAGGTACCAGAGTTTGTTTTGACTCGAGGAAAGGTGGGTGAAACCTAATGGCCTTTCTTTTCTATTCTCTTTTCTGAATCAGGATAGAAATGAGCAAAAAGCGAGGGGGGGCCTCGTTCAGGATTGTTACTTTTTTCCATTTTTTCACCACCTTACTTAACATAAAGCCCTTATGAAGTTCTTCTCCGCTCGGGGGGGGTGGGGAAGGGAAGACAACTTCATAGTTTAGGTATAAGGGGGGGGAACGGTGTACGAACGGCCCGGAAAAGGGTGCGTCGTACAGCTCGACCAAAAATCACCAATCGAAATGCTGTGCCTGGCTAGGCAACATTCTACAAATTTTCAGCTCCCCACAAGCTTCATTGGACGGTGAGTTATCTGAACCAATTTTGAATTGTACTGGCTCTGATTTCCTTTATTTTTATGTCAACTGTTATGCTCTTTTCCTAGTATTTTGCCTTATTTCAGGCATTTATTTAAATGCTTACATTCTTTCACATTCATTCAGAGTCAGTTTTTAATTCAAAATTGGTCAGAATAACTCACCTTCCACTTTAGAAACTTGAAGAGCTGAAAAAGTGGGAACTTGCAGCCGAATTCCATCGAAATCAGCTGATTCGCCGCAGCCGCTGTTGCGTCACAGTGCAGCGCGGCTGTGCCGCCCCGACAGTACGTAATGATGAGGACTGTACAAGGATGAATTTACAAGCCGTAACTCAAACGGGTCTAAGGCCAGTTGATGGGCTGCAAAGATTAGAAGATCGCTTCCACTCGCGTCGAGTGGCTTAGCGAGTGTATATCTTTTTCGGCTATTTCCAACAAGCAAATTCCTAGCCATAAACAGAGTACTAATGAGAACGAGAAGAATCTTCAATAACTAGCTACTCACAGCTCAAAAGCTTGTTCAGTTTTTGTTGCACTGCAGGATCAAGAGTGGATGAGCCTTGCGGCAACAGCTTGGCACGTGGAGCATCAATAACCTAAAGAGTGTTCTGCTATTAATTTGACAGTGCTAATGAAGCGGAGAGAAGATATCCCCGTTATTTAAAGCTTAACATATCTTCAACGGTACCCCCACCTCAAAAATCTCTGAATATCCAGCTCCTCAACATCTATGCTACTGGATACTCGGAAATTAACAGAAAGTGGAGCACAGATGCTATTGGTGTTGAGGGGCCCATGCAGCGACTGGTCGCTTCATGTCATGCCCCTACCAGGATATCTGTCAATCTCGAAGCCCCTCTGCTCCCCACTTTTCCCTTCTTCCTTCCTTCTCTATCCTTCCTCCTCCTCACTACCCTCTTCCTCATCTTCCTTCCTCCAACTACTTGGTTAGATGATGCGATGAGCAAACACCTCTGGACCCTCACATTGAGAGAATATTTGGTTCATAGAAGCTCTGCGATCACACGTCATGTCTTATTTGCTTGTCTCGCCCTCTTACCGCGGACTCTACATGCACTATCGTTTCGTAAGGTTTGAAACACCTTCGAGGATTTTACTCGACGCAAGAAACGTAAAACTAACACAATACTGAAATCCGCACGCATCAGAACTATTCTATTTGCAAAGCCAGTTCGTCTTTGAACTTCTTCGGTCAGCGACAGGCCAACTGTGACCATGTCGAATAAACGCGAGACTACACAGGTTGTAGAAAAGGCAGCAATACGCCATTGACGTTGCTCGAAGCACCTTGCGGAAGCTTACACGTAAGCACCCTCCCTTTCCCATTCGATTCCCCAGATTTATCACGTCGGAAAGAGTTCGCCCACTTATGCACATGTTTAGACGTGATATAGGAGAGTGAGAAGCTGCACAGCTTCCCTCAATATCGACAGATTGGTGCCTTCTCCACTTCAGTACTGAGGCTGAGAAGTACTCCGTTGTGCGTCCTTAACACATGAACCGGCATACCGTTATCAATTTCTTTTTGATCTAAAGAATAACTTGGGTTGGTCAGTAATTCGCCATTCAACGTACTCTTTCAGGGCACTCTCGCCTACCACGCGGCCCGTTTTGATCCCGGTCCGTGGAAAACTCAGCGCTTGGCGCGTGCGGCGCGGTAGTTTTATCGGACTCACCATGCGGCGGGTAGGCGCGGTGATGGCCTACACCTCCGCCACTGTGCTCCAGTCATCACCGCTTTTATGTGGAAGGAAAAAGAGGAAACAAAGAGTTATAAGGTCATAAGGTCACAACCAGCTGTCAAAAGCCTTCGTCATATAACGTTTGCCTAAGAGCCGTTCGCGTCGTTTTCCATTTCGCAATCGAAGAGGACTATTTCCCCGCTTTCGCCCTCTGCTCACCACTACCACTAATTCACGAAATGCTGTAAGCCTCGCCATATTTGATGAATCCTTTTTTTATCTCTTCGTTTTCCTTCACATAACATAAAAGTGGCTGCTCACTGGAGCACAGTGGCGGAGTTTGCCTCTCGCTTCGCCCTGCCGTCGCGGTGACGTAAAAAAGCGCGCCGCTTACGCGCACGGAGAGAGTTTTTCCGGTCGCTCGATACATGTAACAGCGGAGTGACGGCGTCGGCTCGGTGTCGATTCCTCGGGCGGTGGCGGTAGAAGCGTCGTCGAGGCTGGGCAGTAGTAGACGGCAGGCTAGAATAGAATACCCCCGGGGCACCTTACTTATATATGTTGCTTCCCGCCAGGCCCGCCCCAAATTACCCAATAGTAAGTCAGTAGGTGGTCACTGATCTGGGCGGCCGATCGCTTTGGCAGTAAGTCAGTGGGGGTCATTGATCTCGGCCGGCGATCGCTTTGACATGCCGCCCCCTACGGGAAGCGGCGTCCCTGCCGCTTCGATAAGACATGTAAGCGGGAATGTTACCGCTGATACCGCAACTATTGGAGTCCCAGAAAATATTTATATCTTTACACTCTAACGAACAAAATATACCAATTGGACAAACAT